GTCAAGGAGCAAGGACGTTTGTCGGCACCCATGCTGGTCTCCTCTCAGGAGAAATTAGGACTCAGCCACTTTCCTTTTTCCCCCGTTGCTGCCTCACTTTGCTACATCTCCCCCCCTTTACCGGTCAGTTCTCTCCCTCTCCCTCTCCTGCCTTCGGCCCTCCTCTCCCCTCTCCGCCTGCCCGCTCTTTTCACCCCTCCTCTTAGTCCCCCCGGTTCTAGATAACGCGCCCCACCGATTGCGGTGAACTTGACCTCCATCCGGAGATGTGAACGCTTGGTGCCACAATGCCAAGAAGAGGCAGAACAGGCAGGAAATCCTGTTTGCTTTTCCCTCCCCTTCCCCCCCCCCTCCGTCTCCATTTCCCTTCCCCCCTGCCCTTTTGCACTGACTCCCCGACCATTCTCTACCTCCCCCCTTTGCTGCCCTCCTCCTGCCGCCTCCTGGCGACCCTTTTAGCTTTCTCTGATTTCTGTGTGTGTGTGTGTGTGTATGTATGTATGTGCTATATCCACTGCCCCGCCCACCCATCCTCGTGTGCTTCCCTCTAACACGCCACGCTCGACCACATAGTGGCTCACAGCTGATAATGATTCCGGCCCGGTTTCTTTCGTGCGTGCCGCCCCCTCGGGCTCCGGTCTTTCTCCCGGTCCAGCCGACTTCCAGTTCTGACCTGACTCTCCACATGTAGTTCCTTGACGGGAGTCTCCCGGTCGTCCTGTCCCTCGCGCCTCCTGGCCCGATCGGCCCCGGTGGTCGCCTCGCGGACCTTCGCGGGCCTGGCCGGCCTAGCCGGCCCGGCATCACCCCCCAGCGCCCGGCGCCCCATCCGGTCTAGCCCATCGACTACCCCACAGCTTGGGCTCTTCCCCGGCGCTGGGCCCGTGACTTCAAGTGCCGCGTTCCTCTCGACGCCACCGCGGTCGCTTTTCTCCACCTCGGCGGTGGCCGGGCTCGCCGGTCACACCGGCGACTCTTCGAGCCCCCAGGCGCTGGATGAGAAGGTGAGTGCCAGATCACTCTGCGTTGCCCCGCGCCCTCTTGCCCCCCATGACCATGCGATGTCCAACTGCTGACTGGGTATCCCTCCAACGGTGTCACCTCCCAGGACAACCACGCCGTCATCTCGGTTTTCGACATGTTCTCCATCGGCATCGGCCCCTCAAGCTCGCACACCGTCGGACCGATGCGCGCGGCTCGCATGTTCATCACCTCCATCGAGGAGCTTGGTTCGTCCCCCCATGCATGTTTCCTGGTCTCCCTCCTCCATTCTCCTCATGACTGTACCTTACCCGCCCGCTTGCTCCCCCTCCTGCCCTCTCTCTCTGCCCCTCTCTCAGGTATCTTGCACGATGTGCGCTACATGCGTGTGGAGCTTTATGGCTCGCTTGCGCTCACTGGCGATGGGCATGGGACGCCGGACGCTGTTTTGGTTCGTTTCTGGCATCCTTCACCCCCCCCCTTCCTTCCTGGTCGCGTCCCTTCCCCAATGGCACCTTCCCCAAGTTACTAACCCACCGCCAATAGATGGGCCTTGAAGGTGAGGACCCGCGCACGGTCGACACCACCATGCTCCCGGCCCGGGTGGCCTCCATCCGCTCTGAGAAGCGCCTGAACCTGCTGGGCGGCCTGCAGCTGATCGACTTCGACCCGAGCAAGCATCTGATTTACTACCGTGACAAGCGCCTTCCCCAGCACCCGAATGGCATGCGCTTCTCCGTGTTCAATGCCGACGGTGATCTGCTGGCCACCAATGAGTACTTCAGTGTTGGCGGTGCGTACTCCGCGCCACAGGACGCGTCCCTCTCTCGCGGGCGAGTCTGCGACATGGCCCCTGCGGACCCTCAGCCCCCCTCCCTAACTTGATGATGTGCCTTTGCCCTGCTGCCCCTCTTTCCCCCTCGGGATCCGTCCTCATCCGGCCATCTTCTACACACGCGTGCATATGCATGTACATGCCCATAGGCGGGTTCATTGTCAACAAGGACACCGAGCTGGCCGGCGAGAATGCCTTCTACCGCGCGACAACCGCCCTCCCGCTGAACCCCTCGGCGTCATACACCTCCGCCGATGAGGTTGCCAGCCATGGCCCGGCCTCGACGGCGATTCCCCTGAACGCGTGTGATTCGCACACAGCCCACCACCACCCGACGCCTGTGTGCGACATGGGCAAGAAGAATGCCGTGGTGGCCACACTTCCCTTCCGCACCGGCGACGAACTGCTGGAGCTCTGTCGGCAGCAGAACATGACCATCGCCGCGGTGGTCATGGAGAACGAGCGCCGCTGGCGGCCCGAGGCCGAGATTCGGGCCAATCTTCTGGAGATCTGGCGTGCCATGGACGACAGCATCACCAATGGGTGTTGGAGTTCGGAGCGTAAGTTGCCCGGCTCGGCCGGGGTGTCGCGCCGTGCGCCGGCCCTCTTCCGGCGGCTGATGGCAAAGTCCATGGTACGCACTTTAGAGAGAGAGGGGGGGGGGGGGAGGGGAGCGGGGAGGGGCGACGGAAAGGTGCTTCTTGTTCCTTGAGCTTCCAGGCTGCCACTAACAATCATACGAATGCTCCCTTGCCCCGACCGATGTCCCCTTCGATGATATGGCCATCCCCCATAGCCTGTGGCTCCCTTCGACCCCACCTCGCCTCACGGCCGGTCCTCTGCCACTCCCTCCAGCGCCGAGGGGGGCCATGCGCGTGCCCGGCGCGATCTCCCGACAATGGCCTTCCTTGACTGGCTGTCGTGCTTTGCGATTGCCGTCAACGAGGAGAATGCCGCCGGCGGGCGGGTTGTCACGGCGCCCACCAACGGCGCGGCCGGCATCATCCCCGCTGTGCTCAAGTACTTTGTGTCCTTCGTGGCTGGCCACGCCGGGCCAGACGCCGCCGAGGAGGACATTGTGGAGTTCCTGCTGACCGCGGGCGCGATTGGCATGCTGTACAAGCGCGGCGCCAGCATCAGTGCGGCCGAGGTTGGCTGCCAGGGGGAGGTCGGTGTCGCATGCTCGATGGCCGCCGCTGGCCTGGCCGCCGTCATGGGCGGTACCATCGATCAGGTGGAGAACGCCGCGGAAATCGGCATGGAACACAACCTTGGTCTTACGTGTGACCCGGTGGCCGGGTTGGTGCAGATCCCCTGCATCGAGCGCAATGCCCTCGGTGCGGCGAAGGCTGTCACCGCCGCCCAGCTGGCCCTGAGCGGCGATGGCCAGCATCGCGTCACTCTGGATCAAGTCATCGAGACCATGCGCCAGACGGGTCTCGATATGCAGAGCAAGTACAAGGAGACCTCTCTCGGTGGCTTGGCCGTCAACGTGCCAGTTTGCTGAGTGGCAGCGACCTGTGGCCCATGCCTTCCCAAGTGAGTGTGAGGACACACAGGGCGAGCGAGGCAGAGCGGGGAGGGGGGGGGGGGGAAACCGGCATGCCTTCCAACTCCAGCCTACTGTTTTCTCTCTCCCTCCCTCGACCCCTCACCCCATGTCGTGGTTGACACCAGCTCATGGGCTCCCGTCCCCCTGCCTTCATTGCTCTCCCGCCCCCCGCCTCCCCGCCTCCCCTCATTTGTCTGGCGCGCGCGCGCCCATGTATCGACCCCGATCACCCCTTCCTCAGTGACCGTGTATCCTCCGGATGCGCGGTGTCCTTGCCTCTTCGGCCTGTGCCCAGGGCATGGGCGTTCCCTCTCGCGCCCCCTTCTTTCTCCCCTTCCCGGCACATGCCTATTGATAACCTGGCCTGTAGGTAGCTTCTCCTCCATAAATTGATCATATCCATGTAACCACGCGCGCTCGGTCGCGTGGGGCACCCTTGCAAAAGAAAAAACCGAAATACCGCACAGTCATACGGAGTTGTTCTTCTCCTTCTGTCTTTGCTTTGCCTTTCTCTCGCTCCATCCTCCCTTGCCGTTGATCATGGTTCCAGGATGGGGGGGGGGAGGAGGGCATAAAGGGAAAAGAGGGGGACTAGGGGCGATAAACCGAGGGCAGGAGGGGAACTTGCCAACCAAAAATAATGTACGCCGGAGCAGGATGTGGACATGGGGGTGGGGGGGGGGGGGGAGGGAAATCTCATACATTTGACCGTAGCACTACATGACACACAGGTGTATATAGATGTTTGTGAGCGTGGATGGTGTCTGGCCTGGGGTGAATGAGCATTTGCATTTCTATGTCCCCTCTTCCCAGGTACGGGGGGGGGGGGGGGGGGGGACGGGGGTCGGTGCGCGTTCATGCCACCTTTGCCCCTCCATACATACGAAAGGCAACGACCGACAGATTGGGCGAGCGGGACGGAGGACCGGATATCTCTTAGAAGCGGTTCTGGAAGTCCTGCCCCTGAGTCTCACCAGAGTTCTCGGAGTTGTGGGTGTCCGAGTAATAGGTGACAGTCGAGTCGGGAAGGTGACCCATGGCATCAGGGACGATGGAATCCGCCTGCTGGTTGGCGTGGCCGCCACGCTCAGCAGCGTTGAAGGGGATACGCGGACGCATGCGCATCGGGGTGAGGGAGCCTAAGGTCCGATGGAGAGGTTAGACAAAGGAAGCATGTAAGATAGAGGCACTTCGGAGGGGGCGCACCGCCAGAGGAGTTGATGATGATCGACGCCTGGGGGTAGGTCTCGCCGTTGGACAGGCGGATCTGGGTGGTACGCAGAGTGCCCTCCAGGAGGACCTGGGACCTATCGGGAGGTTGAGGTGATGAAGAGCAATGAGGAGTGAGGGGGGAGGGGGCGCTCTGGCGGCGCACCGTGAAGGGGCGGATGC